ACCTATCCTTTTGTCCTTATATGGAGAGGCAGCACATCATGGTGGAGGGGGTGGGGTGTACTTGTAGAAGCTGATAACATCACAGTGGTGCGTAAGCAAAGAGAAAAAGGAAGAGGACTGGCCAGGATCCCAGTATCCCTTTCAAGGTTCTGCCAACAATGATCTTCTTCCTTCTCAGCTGTGACACAGACTGGCAACTCACCTTTAACAGATGGGCCTTTGAGGGACATTTAGGGTCCATATTATAGCAATTTAGCTTCATCAAAGTTTCTTAATGGGGGCCCTAACTTAGCTACAGAAAACTTTGTAAGATTGAGGGAATCCATATTCTGTGGAGTTCTTCTACCCTTGTGTTTAAATCTTAGGCCTCCTCTGCATCTTTGTCTGCCCTCTGGTTGTAGGAGATAAGAGTGCCTTTATATGCTGCCAAGGAAACCCATTAATGTTGGTACTTCAACTTCATTTAATTACTACTTACTCTTAGTCTTTCTCCAACATATCACTATTACCTAAAAGTAACCATTTGATTTGACAGTCTTTACAATTATAAATGTCCTTGTATGTATCTCAGTTTCTTGCAATCATTGATGCAATACTCAGTTCAGTACTAGCCAAGTTCTTATCCATCACACCACCATAACATGACAGCAGCTATACTTCCTGCCAGTTTACCAACAGGTGATGCAGATTAGAAACTGGTTTTCTAGGCCCCTTCCAGTACTGACTCTTCTAGGTTAAGTTCATTTTAAGTAGAAACTGAGAAAGACCTGTGTGTACAGACTACTGGGAGTCAAAGGAAAACACTTGGAAAGAACTAGGGAAGCAGGACTGTCAGAAGGATGATCTGAAATTCAATGATGTTGCAACTGAGGCCCCAGATGCTCAGGTAATCTCACAGAGAAGTCAGGAGCTGAGATGGACTAAACATTTTTCCAAAATTGAGGAGCAGGGGCTATACCTTGTTCCCCTATATGAAGCAGAGCTTGGATGCCACTGTTTCAGGGGAAGGGATGTACACACCATTTAGCAGAAGTGAACTGATTTAATGCAACTGGGAGCTGTTTGGCCACACTAGACTGGAGTCCTCTGCCCTAAAGGGAGTGTTTTGGTTAACATTATAGCATCTGTAAACAGGTTATTTCAATTATCAAAATAGAATGGAAAAAACAAAGCAAGTATTTACATAAAATTCTACAATTAACGTTACATTGCACATTTTCTCAATGAAGGAAAAGAGCAAAAGAGAGGGAAAGCAAAGGATGAGGTAACTCCTTTATGTATCTATTCCCACAAGACATCAACTTGCTCATAGTATGTTTCTCATACATATATGATGAGATAATGAATGAATTAAAAATGAGGCTTCCCATTCCATTCTATAAAAATATCACATGCTTATATTATCAAATCTTAAACATCTTCAAAAATTCTGCTCCATTCATAAGTATTGTCAGTCAAGAAGATAGGGACTATGTTATTATGTGCATGTGATCTTTATGCTGAACTGCTTAGTTCTTCAAGAAGCCGCTCTGACTGGAGTGCAACTTGTCCTCTTCTCCTCCTGCTCTTTGTTTTTCTACCCCAAATCTTTGCTGAATATCATCTCTTAGCAGCAGCTAATTTGCGTAGGTATATTTGATATTCGGCACTAAATTTACTATCTTTAACCAATACAAAGCAGGCAATTAGATTTAACTTCCTTTGAACAAAAGTACATGCAAATGAAATACCTTCAGTAAACTCATAAGTTAGAGCATTCATTAGTTTGTACTTGGTAATGTTAATGGTGTCTTAAAATTAGTGATTAAATATGTAACTTTGAAAAAACTTTTAAAATATTCAACAATTACCAAAATTTACATTAACAATATCTGTTCATTTCTAATTTCCAAAAGAATTTTATTTGTCTTATTATTAATTTCAGATTAGACTTCCTGTTTTCAGGTATATCAAAACTTTAAACATAATAAATGCCCAACAATTATCTTCAGGTTCAAATTTATTTCATATTATCTAATAGAATTTTACATTTGAGATACTAGTTTGTATTTCTCCTTTTAAAGATTATAATAATGCTTCCATAATAAATTGTAAACCTTAATTAAAAGGACTCAAGTGACTACACATAAAATACTTATGCTTAAGTTACATTATCTAATCCTAAATACAAAGGCTTCCAAAAAATGTTATGACTTTTATAATAAGATTACTTTGTTAAAGGAATATTTTAAATATTAGTAATATATTAAAGATATATTTTTAATCCTTTTGAATAGCCATTATCTGGTCAAATCACTGTACTAGATGCTACAGAAATACAGTAATAAATAAGAGATTTTATTTGTCTTCATGAATGTTACAACATATTGAATTACGAGATTTATGAAAATAATTTATCTTAATAGAAAATAAGTAAAATAAGGTTAGCATATGCAAAGAAAAATGATCATATTATTATAAACATAGGAATTACAGAAGATTTCATATTATCCATTCACATAATATCTCAGTATAGAGTAGCTATCTGTTTCCATCTCTGTGTCTCCCAGTAACTTGTGGATTTTTAAGAGTAAGGGTTGAATTTCCATCTCAGTATTCCCTGTGACTATAGGATAGCTCTGAGCTAATAGGTGATCTTCTAGTTTTTAGGTGAATTTATGTATAATTACCCACACCTGGAAGGATAAATGCCAGTTTTTCAGGGGCTTCCCCAGAAGAGAGGAAGGTGTCAGGTTGCTCTCACAAATCAGTTGGTAACCTCTAAATCTCAACCTAAGAAAAGCAGTGGAAATGTCTTTGCAGCACAGCTTGAGGTTATATTGTAGAATGCTTTTGAATACCACACAACTGAATTTGATATTTATTCCTTTTGTAAATAACAGTCCAGATGTGTGTTCACAATAACAAAATCTGAGAGTTCATCAGCCTATTGGGTAACTGAAGCCACATCTAAGTCTGGATTCCCATTGTGAACCCTGTTAACACAATCTTATAAGAGGAGAAAACTGAACCATAGGAAGCCAAAGAAATGGAACTCATTTTGCTCCTGCATTAGATATGCCAGGTCTAGAAATAAAAATTTGAAATAATTGAAGTATGTTTTAAGCCATAACTTTATCAAAAACCTACTATATTTTTAGATGGAAATTATATTTCTTAAATATTTCTATTCCCAAAAGTCGTTTATTTTTCCAATTAAAGTGAAGCTCTTTGAAAATATTTCTTCTTTAATTAATTGCATCTTACAAATCTAATATCATTTGAAAAGCAATGCATTAGCTAAAGTTATTTCAAATCTTTTCAAAAAATATTTAATATGTATCTAACACAGAACTCAAAATTGTATTTCAGAAGTGCTGAAGGGAAGGTCTCGGGTATTGAAGGTGAACACTGAGCCTACGGTTCCTCTCCATTGAAGCCCAGGTCAAGGTGAGAATTTATCACAGATTTGAAACCTGGGCCTTTATCAGGCTGTAGATTTTACCATTTGAGTACCTGAGGAAAATATTAATAAAACTTATAGTCATTTTGTGAAATTACATTACTTTAAAAACATATTAGAGATGTCAGATTTTAGGTCCAACTTTTAAAAATTCTTAAAAGAAACAAGAAAAATCTTAACATAATGAAAAATTAATGACATTTCTTGGATTCATCAGACAGAATGTTTGTGGAGGAAAATAGCCATCCCCAAATTTGAGAAACAAGTGACTCCATAAAGTCACAGGTAGCATCTCTTTATTTGTAGCAGAAGCACTGGAGCCATCAACTAGTAGAAATAGCAGGGGGCTAAGTAGAAGCTAAAGTCCTCACATTTTCATGAGATTTTTTTTTAACCTAGAATTCGGTCATATTTTCACATGAAAATCTGAGAAAGATCCTCCTTCTTGCTCTAGTAAGGTGAAGACGCAGTAATCCCAGTAAAACTGTATGAAGAGTCTTCCCCATAACAAAGCCCACTTTCCAGAAGGAAAGGCTTTCCAGAGCCTTGTTCCAGACCCCATGCCTCTCACCCCAGCTTCTTCCAGGTTGTCTGACTGGTGTGGAGGTAGGGATGCAGGTGAGAAAAGCTATGCAAGAAAAAATTCATGTGAAGGTCACAGTCAAAAACATGATCCCATCAAGTGACTGCGACTTAGAGGGATGTTCATAGCATTAAGTACATAGGAAGAAAGACCTAAAATCAATAAGGTTCTGCCTAACGAAATTAGTGAAAGTAGACTAAACTACACATACACACACAAAGTGACTAAATAAATAAATAGCAGTAGAAAAAAATAAATGAAATACAATGCAGAATTCAACAAAATAAAAACAGAAAACCAACAGGGAATATCGACCGAACAAAAACTTGTCTTCAAAAATATTAAGAAAATTAATCAACCCATAGGTAGAATAAACAAGAAAACAAAAAGATACAAATTGTCTCTCTCCAATGTGAAGGAGGGAGTCATCACTACCAACTCCATGGATATTAAAAGAACAATACTAAAAGTTTATGCACACAGATTTGAAAAATTATCAATTCTTTGAAAGATTCAAACTAGGAAAATTTACTAAATAAGAAATAGATAATCTAAATAGCAATGTCTTTTAAATAAATTGAATCAGTAACAAATATTCTTCCCCAAGTAATAAACATCAAGCTGATAAGTTTTTATTTGTAAAATGTAGCAAATTTTAAGAGTGAAATAATTCCATATATTCACAATCTGTTCTAGCAGAGGGAATAATTCCTAAATCATTCTATGTAGTCTTCATTACCTTAACATTAAAACCAGATAAAGACTTTGTAATAATGAAAAACTACCAAAAACTCATTGAAATCATTTGAAACCTGGGCCTTTATCAGGCTGTAGATTTTACCATTTGAGCACCTGAGGAAAATATTAATAAAACTTATAGTCATTTTGTGAAATTACATCATGATAAAATAAGAATTGTTCTAGGTAAGCAAACCTATTTCAATACACACAAACTAAGCCCTGAAATCCACCATATAAATTCACTAGTGAAGAAAAATCATGTGAACATATCAGTTGATGCATTAATGCGTATGAATAATTCAACAATTGTTATAAAACCTTTAGCAAACAGGTATGATGGGCAACTTTTCAACTAGATAACCACATATAAAAACTCATAGTTAATGAAATATTTAATAGTGAGAAGCCAGACCCTTTCTTCCTGCTACGATCAGGAACACATGGAAAAGATGTGCTTTTTTTTTTTTGATTTTTTTTTTTTTTTTTTAATTTACGTATGACAGCGGAATGCAATACAATTCTTATTACACATACAAAGCACAATTTTTCATTTCTCTGGTTGTATACAAAATATGTATTCATGTCTTCATACCTGCACTTTGGATAATAATGATCATCACATTCCACCATCATTAATAACTTCATGTCCCTTCCCTTTCCCTCCAACCCATCCAGAGTTCCTTTCTTTTTTTTTCTTTTTAAGAGAGAGAGAGAGAGAGAGAGAGAGAGAGAGAGAGAGAGAGAGAAATTTTTTAATATTTATTTTTCAGTTTTCGGTGGACATAACATCTTTATTTTATTTTTATGTGGTGCTGAGGATCGAACCCAGCGCCCCGCACATGCCAGGTGAGCACGTTACTGATTGAGCCACATCCCCAACCCTAGAGTTCCTTTCTTATCATTCCTATTTAGTGTCACACTTGAAACCCATTCAGCATACCAGAAAAAGGAAATCAAAGACTACATAATGCAAAACAAACAAAAAATGTCTCTAATTATAAATAACATATTTGTCACTGGAGAAATACAAAACATTGATTTCAAAATGACTCCTGAAAATGTTAAGAAATTATAGCAAGGTCACAGGAGTCAGATTGCTAAAGACAAGATTAATTATTGTGTTTTATCAACAAAAACAGAAATTTGGAATTTAAAATAATACCATTTAGAATAGCACCACAAAACTGAAATACTTATGATATAAATTAATAGAATAAGCTAGAAATGATATGAAAAAACTCCAAAATATTGATGGAAGAAAAAAAATCAAAGATTATCTAAATAAGAGATATTATATTTGAGGATTGAAAGAATATTGCTCAGATGTCAATTCCTCAAGTTGATCTATAGATTTAAGATAATTCCAATAAAATCCCAGCAAGCTATTTTATGTATGTCAACAAAAATGATTTTGAAGTGTATATGGAATAGAGAAAGAACTAGAATAGCCAGCTCAAAGCTGAAAAAGCACAAACTTGGAGGACCTAGTTTACTTGATTATTCAGACTCCATATAGTAGTCAAGATATCAAGGTATTGGTGGGGGGGAAAGGCATAAGGGCCAGTGGAAGACAATAGACAGCCTAGAAATAGATCTACCCAAATATACTCAAATGATATTTGACAAAGGCATAAGACCAATTCATTGGAGAAAGGAAAGTCTTTTCATCAAATGGTGCCAGAATAAACAGATGGACTTATAAAAAGATTCTAACCTAAAAAATTTTGGAAATTAGTAGAATTTATGACTAGAGACCAAAGCAATAATACGCAGCCCTGTTCTCTATATAGAAAATCTATCTCCCTCCAATACATGGCTTAGCAATTCTGAAAGCCTTGTGCAAGAATAGTGCAACTGATTAAGCAAATGGACAGAAGAAGAGGGTGGGAAACACATTTCTCACTGGTGGAATAGGACCATAGGCAAAGGAAGAAGCTTGGAATGACTCATGTGGTAATCAGAGTAGAGTTAGAAAGAAAATGAACACATGCTTAGTTTAACACAGATATAGATGGAGATATAGACAGAAGATACATTGATAGATAATAGATAGATATGTTAGTATGCAAACACACATACATCTTGTGCCACCAACTTAGAAGACTTTGAAACATCAAGAACCTAGTAAGAATGAACACACTTAGCGCACAGATCTTGGTTTTTAATACCATTATCCAATTAAAAAAAAAAAGGTTCTTTGAGAAAAGATTAAATTCTAGGAATGGGATAGAAAAGAATCTAGAGAATCTTGCAGTGCCAAAAAACTACAAAAAAAAAAAAATGCTTCAAAAACAAACAGGGTTTTGTTGAAGAGGCTAAGGAGTCAACTGAAAGAGATCTCTAATGGACAGAGCTAAAGTCATTGGATCAACAAAACTGGAGATAAAGTATTAAATTATAGCCCAAAGTAGAAAATAAATATCTGTTGAGGTATACTGCTATAAATATGATCAAATAAATAAATAAACAGGGGAGAACAGGCAAATCCTGAAGCAGAATTATTCTAAATATTTAGGTACTTTACCCTTAAGAAGTTAAGGTATTACTTCCTACCCTTTATATCTGAGCTGTATCTGATAACTTTCTTCTGAAGGGCATAGTTTGGAAAGGGGGAGAAGGAATAACTTTATAGCAGAGAAGCCTGACAAACACTACCCAAGCCCTGTGGTCAAGATGAACATCAGCAATGTTAAGCCAAACTGATGGCATGGACCCTTGATCTGATGTGATGAGGATGGCGTTTCACTATATCCACACTGTCATCATGAGAAGCACATTGAACCAATCTCAACTGATGACATTCTACAAAACACAGGACCAGTAATCCACAGCATTACCAAGGTCGTCAAAAATAATCAAAATTTGAAAACTCCTCCCAATGAGCAGAAGCTTGAGGAGATACGATGACTACGATGACTACACATAATGTGGTATCCCAGACACACTTTGTTACGTCCTGTTATTAGTAATAGAGGGAATAGGAGTATGTTAGACCCTCTCTGCTTTTCTTTTTTTCTTTGGAAATATTTCTGTAAATTGAAATCTGTTCTAAAAGAAAAAAATTTATTTTTAAGAAAACCACACTCTTTGAAGCTGAGTACATATTTATGATCTGAAATATCTATGAATAGATCACATCACATTCCAGCCACTCAAAGTTCTTATCCTAAAGGTTTCAAGTCCATTAAACATGAAAAATGCTCAAAATGCACAGTCCATTTCAATTTTATGCCAAAAACTAAGCGCCATAGTCTTCTCAAAACAATTTTTAAACAATTTTTATTTATAAAAACAAAACCAGTGTTTGTCAATTTCTGTCAGATTAAATTTTACATTGCTTTTAATCTTCATTGCTTATATATGAAATACATTGCAGGCATCAGAACAAAATTCATTTGGACAAGTAAATGACTTTATGCTGTATATTTCCACACATTAATAGCATCATTTGCATGCTAAAGCAATGGAATTTGTATTCTGCTGTGGCCACAAAGGATTAATTTAATGAATTAAATAGTCTGGATTGCCTTCTGAGGGAGAGAAGGTTAAAAGGTACATTTTGCTAAATATTTAAAATCTTTAACCTTTGTAGTATAGATCGCTATGATTTAAAAAAGAGACACACAGAGAGAAAAGATAGGAACTTAAAGGATAATTGCATCT